ATATAGTATAGTATAATAGTATAGTATAGTATAGTATAGTATAGTATAGTATAGTATAGTATAGTATAGTATAGTATAATTAATATAATTATAATTAATGTAATATAATAATAACAAAATAAGGATCATGGGATTGTGTTTCCCCTGGCAGAGTGGAGTCCATGGAATCCTTGCCCATCCTCAGCAGGAACCCAAGCCGAAATATGGAGCGAGATTGGGAGAACACTTCGACCGCTTCTTCGATTGCCTCGGTGGCCGAATATACAGGTGAGAGGATGGATCTCAGCAGTGTCTATACAGCCTCCCAATTTGATCCTTCGCCCAAAGGGAAATGCCGTTGTTGAGCGGGAGATTTCAAGTTGGCCACCTCCTTTGAAACAAACGGGCAGGGTGGGCGAGTGGGTGGAGCTATTAAAGGGTTTATTTCAGTGGTGGGATCCTGCCGGTTAAACAACCGGGTCGGTGATCGCTTGCTTTGCCCGCGTGCGCACAGTTTTAAGAATACTTAATTTCCGCGTTACTGCTGGGGAGTAACACAGTTTGGGTATGGCTGCTCTGCCGCACAAATCAGCTGAGAAGATATAGGTCAGTGTAGCAGGCTGGCAGGCCCACCTGATCGTCGGAGTGAACCGGTTCGCTCCCAGCTGATCATCGAAGATACCAGTTCGCCCGAACCAGTCTGAACTGTAGAGAATCCTACCCCTGGTTGATTTGATGCAATTAATGCTTTACCTGCTTACAAAACCATCCGACTATGAGCCGTGGTGTGGCACAGTGGTTATAGAATGCAGTAGTGCAGGTTAATTTTGCTGCCTGCAGTTTGGCAGTTCGATCCTGACCGGTTCAAGGTTGACTTAGCTTTCCATCCTTCCGAGGTGGGTAAAATGAGGACCCAGATTGTTGGGGGCAAGAGGTTGGTTCCCTAAACCGCTTAGAGGAGGCTGTGAAAGCACTGTGAAGCGGTATATAAGTCTAACTGCTATTGTTGTAGCTGATTGGATGCTGCATTACGAACTGTGATGGTGCAGTGGTTAGAATGTAGTAAACTCTGCTTACTGCCAGGAGTTTGATCCTGACCGGCTCAAGGTTGACTCAGCCTTCCATCCTTCCGACATAGGTAAAATGAGGAGCCAGATTGTTGGGGGCAAGAGGCTGGCTCCCTAAACCGCTTAGAGGGGACTGTAAAGCACTGTGAAGCGGTATATAAGTCTAACTGCTATTGTTGTAGCTGATTGGATGCTGCATTACGAACTGTGATGGTGCAGTGGTTAGAATGTAGTAAACTCTGCTTACTGCCAGGAGTTTGATCCTGACCGGCTCAAGGTTGACTAAGCCTTCCATTCTTCCGAGGTGGGTCAAATGAGGACCCAGATTGTTAGGGGCAAGAGGCTGGCTCCCTAAACCGCTTAGAGGGGACTGTAAAGCACTGTGAAGCGGTATATAAGTCTAAGGGCTATTGCTCTTCCTTCCTTCCTTCCTT